TTAAATAGATTTCAAAAACCTTCTCAATATTACATTCTGATACAATTTACACCGAGATTCCACCACCACCGCCTGTAACATCATCTGGAGGACTGATCGTGATCCAAAGCAACGACATAGTGATCGAAATAAGCCCGGACCAAACCCACACAATGGTCGGAACCTTCCCTCTACGACCCATCAATCCTTTAGCAAACGGATACATATGAGTCAAGACCCATAGGCTAAAGAATATCCCTCCAAATAACTTGTTCCATTGCGGAATCACGCTGTATACTGTCCTCGAAGCTCCGATCACAATCGCGACAAGGTTCACTATAATGATTGTAAGCGGCATGATGAAAAGTCCGGTCCATTTCACAATGTAAAGATCCGCAAAGATGTCGTCTTCGTCTTCCCCTGCGGATTTCGATGTCAGTGTGAAGGAGATTTCGATTCCTGCTATTACTTTGAGAAAGCCTTGGACGACAGCTGCAAGATGCGCGCTCGTGCCTCCGATTAGCCAAAACTGTTCGTTTCTCCACCATTCTTCGAGTCCGATTCCTGACCATTTGACCTCGAGGAGGGAGATTAGAGTTAAGGTTATGCTGATGCAGAGGAGGTAGGATAAGAAATGAATGTCGAGGCTCTGGACGATGAATTTGCCGGAGAAGAGACAGAGAGCTGGAAGGAAACAATAGACGACCAAGAAGATGGAGGTAAAAGGGTAAATCCCGACATTGAGGTAGGCGACCCGCTGGAGAAACTTGAGCCGTCTAGTGGCGAACATAGCATTGTTCTTGGAGAAGAAGATCTCAACAGAGCCAGTAGCCCAACGAAGGACTTGATGGAGACGGTCAGTGAGATTGATTGGAGCTGTTCCGCGGAAAGCATCACGTTTTGTAATGCAGTAAATAGACCGCCAACCGCGGTTATGCATACGGTAACCCGTCACCACGTCTTCAGTAACCGACCCGTAAATCCATCCAATTCTATCTCCCCATTCAGTATTGTCCTCATACCTGAAAATCCAAATGAACTCTGCAGGTTTAAATACATAATCCGGTTACACTAGCTGAGCAAATCCATTGTTTCAAAAGCTTACCAGCATGAAATGACAGCAATGGCTTCAGCTACGGTTGGAGCATCAAGGGGAGGCCGTGGCAGGAGCAAAGCACCGGGTGGTCTTCCGTTTTTAACTGACATGTGATCGGCTAAAGGCCGTCCTTGGTACTCTGCAATTGGAATAGTGTCTGTGAACATGGTCGAGTTACCAAACTTTTTGGGCAGACCAAGATCTGGATCATCGGTAAGAGGATGTGTGTCGGACTCTACATCAGATGCTTGGGATGTTTGGGAAGCTTGGGACTGAGTCCGGACATGCATAGCCGGGGCCTTTTCCTGACCAAAAACTCCTGAGTACTCGTTAGCGCGAGGTGGGTTAAATCCATAGAGAGCATATCTCCGGAACATACACCCTGTTCCGACATAGACCGGACCTTGTAACCCATCTAGTGCTCTCATGTTACCTGTGCCAGATATCGAAAACTGTTTAAGCTATGGTGGCTTGTGACATAACTATTACAATTATGTTGTAATTGAAACTCAATTTAACAACTCACCGTCGAAGAAGACTGTATTGTGATTTGCATATCGATCCGATGGATCAATCCCTTCGAACCTTTGTGGAAACTGAATGTAACAGATTCGATCGCCACCTCGGTCCATCATGAAGCACATTCCTTCTTTGATAGCTTTGGAATTGTAGAGGTAGTGATCACAGTCCAGATTGAGGATGAAGGCGCCATTGGATAGAATGGCTGAAGCTCTGACCATACCGTTCATGGCACCAGCTTTCTTGTTGTGGTCAAAACCAGGACGTTTCTCACGCGAGACATACGCAAACATAGGTACGCGGATATCAATCCCTGTGAAATCCAGCGCGCCTTCATTCGGTCCGCCCATCACCGGTTCAAGCTCAGGCACTTTGCTCATGATCTACAAAGTTGGATTTAAGTTTGACAAGCTCTTGGTTTGATTCAAAGTGATGAAGTTGATGGTTCGTACCTGTAGGATTCCGGCGTGGTCTCCTTTTGAATGATCAGCTTTAGGTTCAAACCATGTACCTGGCCAATGTGTACCATCAGCCATCCACGTTGCTTTTACCACCTGAACCCCATCCGGCGGCAATACACCGCCATTTTTCTCTCGGACAATCCGCTTTTCCTTGAGCTCTTCTCTCAAGTTGAATTGCTCAGCTCTTTTCTTGATTTGTTCTGGAAGACCATTGATCCTGACCTTGAATTCGTCATACTCACGCTTGATCCAACGACGATCTTTGACAAAATCTTGCCTTTTCTTGTTTTTTGTCGGGTCGGTTTTCAGGCTAAAGTAACTATCCGGGTTCCTCGGCTCTATGTCATGTTTTCTGCAAAATGGCACCCAATACTGCAAACAAAATTCAAAAGCCACATCAATTTTTGCCATCATTTCATAAGACTAGCCAATACACCGAGGGAGAGAAAGCTAAAATGAAACCTCAGCAAAGCGAACAGCTTCAGCCATGGCTTCAAAGGTGAGAATTGCACCACCATCGTCTGAAATATAGGCAGAAAGCTTCTCAATTGGATAATCCACGGCGAGGATGGAGAGAATGGTGTTTGCGGTGACTAAAGGCGGTTCCTTTTCCGGATCAGCCGTGGAAACAAACACATCAACACCGGGAAGATCAGAGCGACCAGTGGGATTAGACGGAGAAGGCTGCTCAAACTTGTCATGCAAGGCAGCAAGGTCCGTTGCTCTGTTTATAGGGTTTAGCTTTGGAAGAATATCAAGGATCCAAGAGAAAGCAAACCAAATCTCGCAAACTACCGATAATCCCCATAGCCACATCGCATCCTCGTTAGGATTCGTAATTCGCCACCAAAGGAAGCAGAAAAGTACCACAAGACGAAGCACGATTAGTAACCTGAAACAGAGGAAAATAGTAAGATTTTGAAGAACAAGAAAATCTTGAAATGTGAAAAAACAAACAATCAAATCAATCACCTGTATGGACTAAGAATTTTGGCCGGGATCTTAACTTTCCTCGTGAGAGGTTTCCATGGCTTGTCTAAGAAATCCGACATGCTAACACCACCATCATATGCATCATCATCTTCTGACCAAAACGCATTTCCGATTCCGTATTTTCCTTTAGATTCAAACAACCAACGATTATGATCGAAATCTCCGGTCTGGCTTCTCAACAACATTGATTTGTTGTTCGATTTCATCACGGATAATCTCCTCTCCAGCTTATTCCCCATCTTGGGACCGT